ATAGATAGATAGATAGATAGATAGATAGATAGATAGATAGATAGATAGATAGATAGATAGATAGATAGATAGATAGATAGATAGATAGATAGATAGATAGATAGATAGATAGATAGATAGATAGATAGAAAGATAGATAGATAGATAGATAGATACAGATTTTTTTTTACAAGTACATACATTTTTAACAGAAAGTTGCATGTTAGGCTCATTGGTACACTTGATTATGTACCCAGCAACAAGTGTACACATACCTAAAATAATACCCACGTTTACAAGAACTGAACATGCTAAAAGAAAATAACTGCTGAAATTAGCTAAAAAAAATCCATCCATCCATCCATTTTCTTTACCCGCTTATTCCATTTTGGGTCACGGGGGTCGCTGGTGCCCATGTCCAGCAATCACTGTGCGAGGGGCGGGGTACACCCTGGACGGGTCGCAAGTCCATCACAGGGCCACATAGACAAACGAGACAAACAATCATTCACTCTCACCTAGGGACAATTTAGAGTTACCAATCAGCCTAACATGCATGTTTTTGGTCTGTGGGAGGAAACCGGAGTACCCGGAGAAAACCCACGCATGCACGGAGAGAACATGCAAACTCCACCCAGAAAGGCCCCTGGACCGGGGTTTGAACCAAGGACCTGCTCGCTGAGAGGCAGCAGCTCTACCAGTTGTGCCACCGTGCTGCTAGCTAAAAAAAAATCTTACATGTGAAATGGAAGAACAAGCCTAAGGTATCAGAAGAAAGCAGAAATAACCTATTTGCTGAATTTGGTTTAAATAAACAGAAATTAGCACAAATATTAGAAAGTTTGCTAAAAAAAAATAAAAAGGCTGAAATTAGCAACAAAAAATGGTTGAAAAGTAGCTGAAAAGGCAGAAAAAAAATAAATTATCAGAAGGAAGTGGAAGGAGTTGAACTGAGCTTAAAAAATGTGGAATTAATTGCAAAAGTTAAAATTAGCACAAAGCAGCTAAATAGTAGCTGAAATGGCAGAAAAAGCTGAAATTAGCAGAAAGAAGTTAATTTGGCTGAAAGTTGCAAAAAATACCACAGCAATCTTGAATTTATCAAAAAACTGCTGAAATTAGCTAAAAAGGTGCTAAAAAGGAGAGCTGAAAAGATGAAAAGGTAGCTGAAAAGGTAGAATAAGCTTAAATTAGCAAATAAAAAAGTGGTGAGATCATAAGTTTGTCCAATTAGGCTGAAAGAAGCGGAAATGAGCACAAAAAGTGGAAATTGTCTGGGAAAAGCAGAAATTAGCACAAAAAAAAAACAGCTGAAAAGTAGCTAAAAAAGCAGAAATAAGCTTAAATTATCAGAAGGAAGTGGAGAGAGCACCTTTTTGCAGAATTAGACTGAAAATATTTTAATGTGTGCAAAAAAATGTACAATTAGCATAAAAACAACTAAATAGTGGCTGAAATAGCAGAAAAAGCTAAAACTTGCAGAAATATGCTTAAAGGAGCATAGCAAGCTGAAATTAGCAGAAATAAGTTAGAAGAAGCACAAAAATGTAGTCAGCAGAAAAAAATCTGAAAGGAGCACAAAACAGCTGAAAAAAGTTTAGATTTGCACAAAGAAACTGAAGCAGAACAAAATGTGAAAGGAGCAGTAAAATGTAAACACATCTAAAATGAGGAAAAAAGTGGCAAAAAAGGCTAAATATTTCTAAAAGCTAAAGTTGCACCAAAACCAAAAGTCACAGCAGGATTGTCCTGAAAAAGCTGAACGTTTTGATTTGTGATTTGTTGAAATAGCTCAAAAACTGCGGGATGAGAAACCCGCCGAAAAATGTACGGAAGCCAAATGGATCACAGTGTGAATGCCTCATAAACATTCACTCAAGATTTTAAGCTCCGACTCTTATCATTGGAAGAAAGGGTGGATTAAACCTTTCTCAACACACCTGTCCTCTTTTTGTGAAGGCAGTATGGCAGCAGATTGCTAAACTTCCTTTTACCACCAGCTTTCAGGAGATGGTAACTTTTTAGTCAGCTTGCTAAGTTCTAGGCAAAAAAAAAACCAACTCCCTTTGAGTCTTTGACAGAATCTACAGTTTGGTCTTCAATCAGGACTCAAAAATCATTGGTGAAGTCATCCCTAAGTTTTACATTGTTTAATCAAAAAGTTTAAAAAAATCAATGTGCCATTCTGAAGAAGTAACTTTCTATAATGTTGGTTTTTCAGCTGGGTGCCAAACATCATCAACGAGAGCCTCCTCTTCTACCTGGAGCTGCAGACAGACATCAGTGACAGCAGCCTCAGAAACCTCAGGAACGCAGCTCTCACCACGTGGTTTATCATGGTTGGTAACTTCATACAGATAATCACCTCTTTTTTTTTAAATCACCTATAGTGAATCTGTACTTTGCCTCTTTTAGGGCATCCTGAATCCCATGCAGGCTTTCCTCAACACTTTGGCCTTTCACGGCTGGACAGGCTTGGATGTTGACCTCAGCCTGCAGCGCAGCCGGGAGCTGGCCTGGGACTCTGGTTCTACCTCCGTGGCTAACAGCCAAAACCCGATGGTGGGAACAACTCTGCTTTACCAGAGTCATGTGCAGGAAGCCCAGAAAAACTCAATGGGGAACGGACAGCAGCACTCTGACGCCATCAGTGTCCTCTCAGAAGGTAAACAGCCGGTGAGCAATGCAAAGAGAACGCCGGTTTATCAGGGCTGGTGATGCTGAAACGCATCATGTTGTCAGTGACTCCTGCTTTGTAAACCCTGAAAGATTGTATCTGTAATAAACAATACAGAAGCATGAAAGTGCAGATCTTCTATTTCGATTAGGATCTGAATCCACAGCTGATCTACGTTTTTGTTCCTGGGTAATTTTTATCAGTATGTGCAGTTGCAACCCTGACCTTCTGTTTGGGGATTTGAGCTTTGAGAAACTTCACTCACAGATAATCACATGACAAGCACAGAGCAGTAGGTTAACTAAAAACATGCCCAGCTGCCTGAAACCACTGAAAGAGAAACACACTGAAATGGTCCCAGGCCGCCATCTTGCTAGGTTCTACGCACGCATACCATTGTGTGTTGTAACGTTAAAGCCATCCGTTGACTCCTTGCATGTGCTTTTTTAATGCATAGAAATAAACTTAGATACTTCAACACATGTCGTCCGTATTGTGAAAACAGGATGAAGAGTGTTCTGTAAGAACACTACAGCTATCAGTCTTTTGAGCCAGTAAATGTCTTCAGTCCAACAAAAAGCTCTACTACCAGCATCTCTAATTAGTTGCACTCAGACTAAGAACTTAAACTTATTAAACGGCATGTGTCTAATTCTGAATATATTTACTGTAGGTCTTATATTGGGGACCGAGATGGGGTAGAGGCAGGGCAGCTGACCTGGGAACCGAAAGTCCCAGGCTCAATCCCCAGCCACTCCCACATGTGGTGTATCTGAGCAAGACACAATTGCTCCCCAGGCACCCAAATAACCGCCCACTGCTCCACCTGGTGTGATGGGTTAAATACAGAGAATGAATGTCACCATTGTATGGGAACATACAATGATAACACATAAAATTTTGTATTATTATATTATGGTACTCCACAGTACTGACATTGAGAACTTTTACGTTCATGTTCTGATATGTATAATTCATGATGAAACATTGGGCTTCTTGTTTTTTATTTGTATTAACGCAGATGTGTGCGGTCTGTGTCGGATGTATTCTATTACACCACGTAGCACCTACCAAGATGGCAGCACAACATCACATTTGCAGACTGCTCTGTGGTTAGCCGTTCCAGTGTATTGCTATTTCAGTGCATGAAACTAATCTAGTCTAATACAATAATCCATATATTTATGAAGGTTAGTTTTTATATTTCCTGTCAATATTAAAACCAAACATGCGACATGTAAAGCGAAGTCGTTTCCCTGATTGTCAGAAACGATTACCGGTACGCCCAAAATTTTAAAGACAATTGGAACGTGAACATTGGTCACTTTTTAACAACACAGTATTGGCTTTGTTGGAGGAACTGTTCTCACTTGCATTGTCAAGATTTTTTTATACATTTTTCTTTCCAAAATTATTAAAACTCTTTACTGCATTCATTCGAGCAAGATATACCTCATAAACCAGCACGACGGTGAATGTTGATGTGCATGTACTGCTGGGAAATGTAATTATTTCAACATTTATTTATAACATTTTGTTTGTCCATGTAATTAATAAAACTAATGTTTTGTCACCAACTACTCCACATTAAGGATTTAAAAAATAAAGTCATTCTTATAAAGACTTATGGTTTTCATTTATTTATAAAGCGATCTTTGTCAACTGCAGCAACAAATCAAATACAGGTGCTGGTCATAAAATTAGAATATCATGAAAAAGTTGATTTATTTCAGTAAATCCATTCAAAAAGTGAAACTTGTATATTATATTCATTCATTACATACAGACCGATATATTTCAAATGTTTCTTTCTTTTATTGTTGATGATTATAACTGACAACTAATGAAAACCCCAAATTCATTATCTCAGAACATTACTTACGACCAATAAAATAAAATAAAATGACTTTTAGAAATGTTGACCAACTGAAAAGTATGAACATGAAAAGTATCAGCATGTACAGCACTCAATACTTAGTTGGGCTCCATTAGCCTGGATTACTGCAGCAATGCTGTGTGTCATAGAGTCGATCACTGCTCAGGTGTTATGAGAGCCCATGTTGCTCTGATAGTGACCTTCAGCTCTTCTGAATTGTTGGGTCTGTATCACATCCTCCTCTTCACAATACCACATAGATTACATAGATATGGGGGTTAGGATCAGGCAAGTTTGCTGACCAATTAAGAACAGGGGTACCATGGTCCTTAAACCAGGTACTGGTAGCTTTGGCACTGTGTGCAGATGCCAGGTCCTGTTGGAAAATAAAATCTGCATCCTCATAAAGTTGTTCAGCAGCAGGAAGCGGTTCTAAAATTTCCTGGTAGATGACTGCGCTGACCTTGGACCTCAGAAAACACAGTGGACCAACACCAGCACATGGCATGGCCCCAAACCATCACGGACTGTAGAAACTTCACACTGGACCTCAAACCAAGTGGATTCTGTGCCTCTCCTCTCTCCCTCCAGACTCTGGGACCTTGATTTCCGAAGGAAATGTTAAATTTACTTTCATCATAGAACATAATTTTGGACCTCTCAGCAGAAGTCCCAGGCGAGACACTTCTGACGCCGTCTCTTGTTCAAGAGTGGCTTGACACAAGGAGTGCGACAGCTGAACCCCTTGTCTTGCATAGGTCTGTGCAAGGTGGTTCTTGAAGCACCAACACCAGCTGCAGTCCACTCTTTGTGAATCTCCTCAACATTTTGGAATGGGTTTTGTTTCACAATCCTCTCCAGGGTGCGGTTATCCTTATTGCTTGTACACATTTTTCTACCACATGGTTTCCTTCCCTTCACCTCTCTATTAATGTGCTTGGACACAGAGCTCTGTGAACAGCCAGCCTCTTTAGCAATGACCTTTTGTGTCTTGCCCTCCTTGTGCAATAGTCGTATTTAGGACAACTGTCAAGTCTTCCCCATGATTGTGTAGCCAACAGAACTAGACTGAGACCATTTAAAGGCATTTTCAAGTGTTTTGAGTCAATGAACTCACTAGTGTGACACCAGGTGTCTTCAATACTGAACTTTTTCACAATATTTTAATTTTCTGAGATACTGAATTTGAGGTTTTCATTAGTTGTCAGTTATAATCATCAACAAAAGAAATAAACATTTTAAATATATCAGTATGTGTATAATGAATTAATTTAATATACAAGTTTCACTTTTTGAATGGAATTTCTGAAATAAATCAACTTTTTCATGATATTCTAATTTTATGACCAGCACCTGTATATCTTTTTGAGAGTTTGTCAGGAAACTCATCAGTAACATTTTAATGGTGTCTGCAGTAACGCCCAGTAATCTCCCCTTATTTCGTCTTGCTAGGTTCAGAGTCAAGTACAGTTGAAATCCAGATTTCCAGCGAGCTACGAGGGGACGTAGACGCTGACGGAGAGTCCTTGGAGAACTCTGTGAGGCGCTAGCTGGGCCCGTCGACAACCCAACTCCCTGCTTCGCTCTTTCAGTTTTCATCCTTGACTTTAACAGCCGGAGTTACAGGATTAGTCTGATTCTCCTTTTCATTTCTTTATAAACATTAAAAATGTTCAGACCCATCAGCTAAACCTTTCCAGGAACACTAAGCTGTTAGGACTTTATCTGTGGTTACAAACTGAACTGTAAAGGCTTGACTTTCTTGCATCATATTAAGTGTACCACATCCTAAAGTGATAGTTCAGATCTTTTAAAGGTTCTGTGGAAACTTTACAAACAATATCTTACCTGTTATAGATGTTTTTGGACTTCAGTTTAGGGAAACAAGTTTAATCTTGACCAGATTACTGAGCTAATCTGAAAACAGCTACTAAAAAAAAAAAAAAAAACAAGTTTATTGCTCTCATTTTAAATCAACCAATCCAGTCAAAATTAAACTAGTTCCCAAAACTGTGGTTGTTAAAATAAGCGCAACCCCAGTTGAAAAAGTCTGAACTATTGCTTTAACAAAGAAACTACAAGCATAAGCTAATAATGATTTCAGAACAAGGTTTTTGTACATCAAACTGTGAGTTTTTTTCCCCCATGTTTTATGTTAATTATATAATTTTTTGTTGTAATGAGTTGTTGAAGAAAACTGTAGACAGAAAAGTCTTGTTTTTATGTAAAACGACTGAGCTAAAAAAAAAAAAAAAAAAAGGGTTTAGGACACAAAGGCAAGTTTTTGTCCAATATCAAAATAGAGTAATTTATTCGAGACACTGAATGACTTCAAAGTTTTGTCTTGGAAACGGGTGACAGCACCCTGGATCAGGGTGGGAGAAAGAAGACCAGAGCTGTCACAGCACTTGTGCCATTTTGGGCTTCTTAGCATGCCGGTACAGGTCGCCAACCCACAGCCCAATTCTCAGTCTGACACAGACAATAACGGCTTTCATCAAATTAAAAAGAAGAAAAAAAAAATACAAAAAGCAATGCAACACCTTTTACAATCCAATCATGAAATACTTCAAAAAATAAAAAGGAAAAGTCAACATTGAACCTTCACTTCTGACCAAAACTGAACATTTGCTGAATCCACCAATCATAAAAGTGCACTTTATGTTCCTGTAGCTGACAATGAGCACAAAGTGAGAGGGACCAAAAAGTGGTGACGAGTTCAATCTAAAAATATGGTCTCGATCTTCAATAAGCAGAACGGGAACATTTTGCAAAGAAGCCCAACAACTATAAGCATCTTAAATCTGATCAAACCTGATCTGTTGAAAAAAGAAGACGGCTCTTTTTGTTTTCACTCTCCTTCAACAGCAGGACTTTCCATCCCACTCTCTGGACGAGATAACTGAATATTCAGTAACCAGGTGGAAAAGAAAGTGCCAAAGAGGAATTATAAACTATTTAACTTCAGATTAAGTTAAAGTTCAATTTTCTTACCGGTCAAATTTGGCTGGTTTGTTTTCCTGTTGCATAAAGTACAGAAAACTTGAATCAACAAACCAAGCTGCTGTGAGTGACCTTATTTTGACAAGTCCCCCCACCCCCCAAAGGCTGGTACTGAGATGTGTTTCCTCTGTGGATTGCAGCAGAGCTGCTCCAAACATGTCTCCATCCATTTTTAACCAAATCAAACAGGAAAAAAGAAGCTGGTTGCACTGAATACAATGAGTTGAGATTTTAAGATTGTTAAAAAAAATAAAATAAAATAAAAAAAGCCAGACACATGCACTCAATTAAAAATGTTCTTGTCACACATTGACAGCAAAAGAAAGATGTAATAGCTCAGCCAATAAAGAGCCCCTATAGATAGACATAAAGTGTACTGTATATAAACATATATACACAGTATATAAGTCTGTGTTATTCTAATTTACATTTCTTTACATTCTCAAAATTTACATCCAAAAAAGGAGAAAACTCTCTTCGTAAACCACACTTTTCACATCTTTTGTACAAAACGAGTTAATCTTATGTGAGCTGTGCAGTCGTGGGGGGGTTATAGGGAGCTTTCCTCTTACTGACCTGATTTTAAAAATGAGCTATCTACCTCATAGGGGCACATTCAATCAGACTTTTAAAAGTTCATTTGTGTGCGAGTGTGTGTGTGTGTGTGTGTGTGTGGGGGGGGGGGGTGGCCGGTGCTTTTGAAACAAACTCCTCTGGGGGAGAAGTTAAGCACCTGGTCAACGGAAAGTGGCAGCGCTTCAGTACTGAGAATCTGTTCCTTTCATCCTGTTGCTTGTTGGATCGTGTGGACGTGAACTAGCGTTTCCTCAGAGGAATTATAAATCTGCAGCTTTCCCTTCACATTTTGCTGCCTCTCACAGCTCAAACACCTGTCTCTCATTATTTTCTTTATAAAACTTTGACTCATCTTTGCGTTTCCACCCATACAACCCGATAACAGCTGGATGTGGAGCCTGCAGGGATCACAGCACGTCTTCACTGGAAACCTTTTAAAACATGGATGTGCCTTGGGAGTGGAATCCACTTTTTTAAGGATTTCTATGCCAGTTTCCATCTTCTCTCAGGCTTATCATAAAACACACGTCAACAAACTGTAAGGTGCACTGAGTTTAGGTGGTGTTCGAGCTGCTGCCGTCATCTGGTTTAACTCCTGTGAAGAGTTCATTTCAGTACACCTTTACAGCCCTCATCGAGCACAAGGGAAGCGTGTTTGTTGATATAAGAAGGCAATTTCTGCACTTTCCAGGATTCTTTAGCTTAGCCTTGGGACAGCTATTTTCGGAGATCGAGAACACAAACCTGAAATGAAAGAAAGTAATCATTAACAGCTTATTTCATTTTTGGTCATCAAGATACTGTTATTTGAACAAACACCATATGAAAGAATATAAATTAATCGTTACCGAGCCGTCTGATGCACTGGCACCAACTTTATCCCCAGTGCTGTTCCAGCACACCTCAAAAATGCCACCGGTTCCCCTGTAGCTGTGCACCAAGGAGCCGGTCTGAAACAGCAGAATGAAGACGATAAGCTGCGACAAACTACATCAACATTTCGTAACCGTGGCAATATTTTGGCTGCTGTATGGTTTTGAATAAAACCCAGTTGGAGTCTTACTGTGGTGTTCCAAATGTGGACACACTTGTCGAAGGAGCCGCTGGCGAGGTGTTTGCCGTCGGGGCTGAAGGCCACGCTGTAGACCGGTTCCTGGTGTTTGGTCAGAGTATGAATACATTTACCTCGTTCCACATCCCACAGTCGCACCGTCGAGTCAAAAGATGCACTGTGTGGAGAAACACGAGAAAAAGATCAACCTACTTATTTTATGACAAATAATTAATACATATTTATAGAGTTTACACATTTTTACAGCAGTCGGGAAGATGAAATCTTTAAACTTCCAAATGACATTTGGACCAGTCAGCTGTCAGTATGTGTTTTATTAAGTCCTGTTTTAAGCATCTAGTGTTAATGAATCAAACTCAACATTAAACCCTAAATATATAATGAACTTTTTTCATCAAGGAAGTGGGAAAATTCTCCATTAACACCTCGCATTTAACGATTTATGAATAGGCAGCGCTAGAACAACTGTTTAAACGGTAAATGGACTGTACTTATACATCACCTTTCTATCTTATCAAGATACTAAAGCTCTTTACAACACAATCTGTGCCTCATTGACCCATTCAGACAGCACTCTACTAGATCTATATAGACTAAAAGGTGCTTTATCACATTCATACACTGATGGGGCACACATCAGAGGCAATGAGGGGTTCGGTGTCTTGCCCAGGGACACTTCAGTATATGACTGTTGGTGGATCCCAACCCCCAACTCTTGCACTGGAGGACGACTGCTCTAACCACTCAGCCACAGCCGCCCTAATCCTAAAGTTGGATCGAGGGTTGTCTTTCAACAGATGGCAGCGAGGGAGCTGCTCTGCTACTTACAAACCCCGACCCAGAATCAGGTCGACTGCGAGCCATTTAGCACCGCACCCTCGTGAAACATGCAGTGTGCGTCGGACAACGGTGGCGCTGAGGAACAGCGGCGCTTCGATATTAGTGTGTCTAGGCAGGATTCTGACTTGGAGGCGTTCAGTCATAATCCAGCAGATTGTAGCTCCGCCCCATTGGCTCCCCAGCCAAGCACATGCACCAAATGTCTGAACCTGCGGTTCCTCTCGCACTGAGCAAAATTACTGTTGCGACAACACATCAGTAAGTAAAACTAACCGGTCTCACGACAGTAGTGAAGCTAATGAAGAATTGAAAAATATCAAGATATGTTTAAAAAAAAAAAAAAAACTATGTAGGTCATTAAAATGTTACATTTTGATCTACCATGTTTGATTTGACGTTTCTAGTGAGCAGTAGCAGCTTTATTGTTATTGTGGTTTATAGGCAGGTGTGTGGGGTAATCGTTGAAGACATAAATTCCTGAGACGTGTGAACTGGAACGTTTACACATGCATGCACACCTGGGTCAGGAAGGATGTTGACTACTGACCATTACCTGCACTGAGATTCTGGGTCAGAATGGGGTTTCATCTTTAACATCCATGTTCTACTCCCAAAAAACCTACATCAAACTGCTGTCTGTACTGCCAAACATTAACAGTTGTTCATGAACTTGTGATCAGGTGCTCTGTACGATGCTTTATGTAAACTAGGAAGGAGCTCCTACCTGGCGAGCATGATGTTGGCATTGGGGTTGTTTGTGCTCGGGCCAGTGGGGCTCCACTTGATCGTGTAGATTTCTTTGTTATGAGCCTGGAGGTCATGGACACATGACTCCTGCTTCATACTCCAAATCTGTCAAAAAGCAACGACAAAATATGAACACAAACCTCGTCTCATCTTTGTTCAGTGCAGCCTTTAACCAGTCTCACCTTTAAGGTCATGTCATCGGAGCAGGAGGCTAGCAGCATACCCGATGGATCCCACTTAATGGCGTTGACTTCGTTCTGTGGAGCACAATAACATTACAGCGACTGTCAGGGGAGTTTGTGAAATGTGGTCAGAAGCAACAAGGAGGAGCTGCTCACCGTGTGACCCTGAAAGGTTTTTAGAGGCCGGTCGCTGCCCAGGTGACATACGTGGATGCACATGTCTGTGCTGCAGGAAGCAAACGTGGTGTTGTTCTGCCAGTCCACATCCAGCGCCGGAGCTGTGAAATGATTGAATCCATGTTTGTTAGAAGGTTGGTCACACAATATGACTAACCCATTTTGTATCATCTCTGGGATCATTTATTATGAACATGTGACTGGACTCACCTGAGTGAAACGGGAACTGTTGTTTGGCTTCACCTGTGTGTGCATCCCAAATGATTGTCGTCTAAAAAATCCAAGTCCAAGGTGCATTTTAAAACATGACTGAAACGTTTTTAAAAAAAATTCATAAACAAACAGATCATACTGAAAGTTTTCCCTTTCTGGATTTCTATAATTAAGTGATTCATACATAAAATGTTATTTTTGTACTAGAATCTACATTTAGTTTAAGATAAAACACAAAAGCATCACTAATTAAAACAATTAAAAGATTGCACAAGTATAAAAATAAATACATTAATCCATGTACTAGGATCTCACTTTATCTACTCCAGCACTGAGAATACAGTTCCCCTTCTTGTTCCACTTGAGTGCAAATATGGGTCCTTTGTGCTGCCCCAAGGTGCTGGCCAAATTTCCTGATGAATAAGAATAACTATTAATTTGTTTCAGAGAAAGAATCCTACAAATGTAGTTATTCACAACAACAATGCAGTAAACCTGGGAAACAAGGTATGACAGTGATGGAGGACATACCGTCCTTTGTCCATATTCTGGCAAATCCATCATAGGAGCCAGTTGCCAGGAGAGTCCCATCGCTCTGTTGGAAGGAAAAAACCAGAAGGTGTCTGTCTGTTTACCATATGGCAGAGGTAGGAGAGTAGGAGAGCTCATCTGAAACCTACATTCCAGTCTAGTGAGGTGACGTCTTTGTTACTAGGAACATCCTGGCCACCTTCTCGGATGCAGTGGCGCAGCACCAGCTGGGTGGAGTTGGAGTTATTGTTCTCGTTCAGGTTCCAAATTCGAGCGGTCGAGTCACCCGAGCTGAACAGAACACACGAGGAAGGGTTCAAAAGGTTCTGGTTTTTATATCTTATGGATGGAAACAGGGTGCACACATTTGACATCCAAGATGTAATTAGGACTTATCTGTGCACAGATGGACTCACCCTGAGGCCAGCAGATCACTGACAGGGTTCCATGCACAGATGAACACTTCGGACTCGTGGCCTCGGAGCACCGTGGCCTTACTGGCTGGGATTTCAACATCCACATCCACCTCCATGGCCTCGCTGTGATTATCTGCAGAGGGGGAACACACACGGAAATATTAAATCCCAACTTATCTACATTTAAATTGCAAAAACTCAACGAGGAACTAAGTAGCCCATGTTAGGAGTATTTTTGTATGAAATGAATCAAATGATAAAGCTCAATGAAAACAGAACTCTGTGCTAAATTAACCACCTGCACTTGCTGATCAGCTTACATGGACTGAAAAATGACTTTACCTACATTTACCATCAATAATGAAACTAACAAAGGAATGTAAACCACTCACCATCTGACATGCCAACAAACACGGTTAAATCATTAATTATTTTTGTTATTATCTACCTGGACGATTGAGTTTACAAAACTTTTTTCATCTGACATGCCAAAGTTTTCAATAAAGATCTTGTGTCATCTAGTATTATATGTGCATCAAATGATTATTTTGAGTTTCATTACAATTTAAAAGGTTCATTAAATATTTTGCTAACAGACACAAAAAAAAGAAAGGCAATAACATGATCCCAGTCTTTCACTGTGACATGCAATAAGAAGATATCAGGCAAAAGTTTATTGATATTAATTTAACACTGACTGAAACACAGAAAATGTATCTGCAGTTCATTAATAATTGTAAGCATCAGTTTAATTCACATTGTGCACAGTGACCCACAACACTGAGAATCATAAGTGCTATGTGTTGTCATCATTGTATGTTCTCATACAATGGCAAAATTAGTTCTCTGCATTTAACCCATCACACCTGAGATACAACCAGGTGGAGCAGTGGGTAGTTATGAAGGTGCCTGGGGAGCAGTTAGGGTCTCAAGTTGGATGTCCTACCTCTACCCCATCTCTTGGAACCATGTCAGAGTAACGGATCTATTCTTAATAAAATGTGAAATATGCCCAAGACTTTTATACAACAGGATAAATATACTCTCCTTCACCCATCGACAATCTGATCGTCCAATTACTTCACAAAGACAAGGTCGGCTCCCACCGTGAGAAAACTAGGAGATTTAGAAGTCGACTTACTCATGCTGTGTGTACCGTTTTCCTCGCCGTTAACAGTGGCTTCCCCGTTCTTTGATGTGTTTGATTGGTTTCCGGAGGTTGACGCGGTGATGGTACAGGCAGCCTGTTGCTGGGCCAGTTTGTCGCGGAACGCCTGCTGCCGCGTCTGCACCACATCTGGCATCACTGCGTCAATGAGCGACAGCGACTCGATCGGCCGGCCATCAAAGACTGTGCCATCCTGTCAGAGGCAAATATGATTTATTAGCAGTGATTTTATTTTCTACTAAATTTTACTCATGGACATTCAGAGTTTTTCATTTTTTATTTTGCAGAAACAAAAGAAGTTTATTAATGGTTAAAACTGTGAAAAGCATTGCAAGTCTGATCTGTGGGAGTCACCTCATTGATGCTGATTTCTGCCTCCACATACTGAAGGCCTTTCTGCAGGATGGAGATCAGGGCGGCAGGGGGCACTAGCGTTCCGTTGATGTTCGACTGGCTGATGTGGCTCTCGATGCCAAAGGTGAATGCTGAGTGGGAAAAACCTGAAAACAAACACACCACGTACAAGATGTGAACAAATAAAACCCAAATATTGAAGGAAAAGTAATTTATTAGCCAACCGATCGAGGTAGACACCAATTTGCACAACGTTTTGTAAGTGTTATGAAATGTAAGAAGGCATGCTCTCGTCAATGTTGACTCCTCAGATCTGCTAAACGCTTGCACACAGCCTCTTGGCTTCAGACACAGTCTCTATAAACTGTTAAAAAAAAAAAAACAGCAGCTAGGTTTTCAATCCCTGATTCAAACTATCAGGATCCAGATTTCAGGAATGACTACAGAAACAAAGATGTTCACATTCCATGAAGGGAGAGGCCTCCTTACTGAATACTTCAGTGAAGAATATGTTTAATCAAGCATAATATAAAAAACTGAAGTATATGCTCTAACAAAATAATGGCAGAACATATTGCTAGCAGTCCATTGCTACACTGAACATTTAAATTTAGTCGAAGTAGATTCATTTATTCTTCACATAAACGCCTCCAGTATGTTTTCCAGGCATTTTTGATACAAACCTGATTCTTGAAGATATCTGTAGACCAAGAAATTCACTTCGTCACTGGTAATACTCATCTTAGCCCAATGAAAGGGAGGAGGTATGATGGAAGGCTGAGCTCACTCCTGAAAGAACCAAAAACAAATCAATGAAATGAACTGAAAAATAAAGAGGAAGCCAAGTTTATAACGTTTAGGCAAGCAGTTTGGCACATAACTAAAATGTGAACAAATTCTGCTCACAGTATCTGTCCTGAACTGCACCCAGAGATGCAGTCATGTGTACACAAACACAAATAGGACAGCCAGACGCTGTTAGCTCATGCTCACTTTTCATCTTGTCCACTGATGCACATTTCCTTGCTGCTGTTGGCTGAGATGGCCAACATGGAAATTTACTACTAAATTTAGTCAATGAGACTTCAGCTGTAAAAGTTTCTTAGCAGTTCATTCAAACCTTCTTTGAGAAAACATTTACACTGCTGTCAGTCACACAAGCTCATTATTGACTGAATATTCTGTGATTTGCAATAACAAATATAAACACCCCCTGTAGAACTTCAGTTATACATTTATGCAGGAATGACCATGTAATGCAAATTTAACTGTGATGGGAAAGTTTATGAAGTAGTGGTTGTACATATTACTGTGGCAATGGGGCAGCTGTGGCTGAATGTTTAGAGAGGTCGTCCTCCAATGGGAGGGTTAAGAGTTCGATTCCACCAGTAGTCACATGTTGAAGTGTCCCTGGGCAAGACACTGAACCCCTCATTGCCTCAGATGCGTGTCCCATCGGTGTACGAGTGTGTTAAAGAATTGATTAGTCTCTATAGAATGATTTGTTCAGATTATCTTTGTAGAGCTGTAGTAGAGTGATGTATGAATGTGTGTAGAGGTGAATGAGGCACAGATTGTGTTGTAAAGTGCTTTGAGTATCTTGATTAGATAGAAAGGTGCTATATAATTACAGTCCATTTAGCATTTACAATAGATGTTTTAGGATGACATGCTTCAGGCCTTGTCCTCCCTCAAACTAGCCATTAAAACATCTGGATAGAATTACACACTTCCTACAAACTGAGCTTGTTAACAGCTGTCTACAACAGGTAAGATAAAAACTGCTCAAAACTCTTCTATGGAACTCCACTTCAAAACGATCTGAACTAGCCCATTCATTAGAACATTCATTATAATTTGGCTGCACCTGTGAACTCTGGCATGCTTCTGGTTACCAGTCAACCCTAGAAGGAAATGGCTCTTCTAAAATAAGAAGGATCTAATAAATGCATAGATCAGGCATTTGGAAAGGAAACGGAGAGAACCAAACAAAAAGTCCAAACTGAAGCCTGAGAACAACACAAGACATTTATGTAAAATAATTTCATGCCCTCCCACTGAGAGGTAAAGGACGGGTACTTTGTAGAAAAGATATTAAAAAAAAAAAAAGGTGGCATCAGGGATTAAGAATGCAAGGCTGTCATTCCTACTTGCATTCCTAAAACCATCTAGGCCCACTCACCATTTGCTTTGGTAGCATAGCAACACGAGATCGAACAAAATAGAATGGTGTTGTCCCAATTACAAGTGGGCATTTAGCCAGAGGGGCTGAACACATTACTCATGATAAATTATTCACTCTTTCACCTTGATATCTTCTTTCAGTTAGAATTAACCTTGACTGTACAAACCACACACGATGAATGCTACTGTATTATTATTTGAGGTACAAAAGTCCCAACAAAAACATCACAGAAATATTTCTAAAAAGAGTTGTGCTTAAAAGTGGTAAAAATATAATGGTATCCCTTTTTGCTTCCATTAAAGTCAAATCCTCGGTTATCAGTCCCCATGTTAGACCAGTGAGCATGTTTCTTTTTTAGTTAATTAACCTTCATATGGGACTACGGAGGGCTGACCACATCAAAGCAAGGCGGCCGCTGCTCCCAGAGCAGCAACAGCTACATACCACACAACTGCAAATGTAATTAACAGGCAACCTAGAGAGGCTCGGGTCCCATCAGTGCGGGGCAGCAGTAATATTACCTCCATCAGATGGACTATGATGCTACCATCATTACACAACTCCCAAGTATTCAAAGCTCCTTTGACCAACAATGAGTGTTCCAGGAAGCTATCCACTGTCTCTGTGAAACAGTTCTACGATTTATTCAAGGAAGTGAGAAGTGGATTCAAAGTCAAAGTGATTGCACGCTCAGCAAAAAAAAAAAAAAAAAAACTGAATAGGTTTCAACATTAAAAAACACAGTATTAAAATGTCCTTAAGGCAAGGTTGTTTAGCTGGATGGCTTGAATAGTTTAATTGATTTCAAGGTAAATTTAACAGTAATTTTTTTTTTTTAAGGTGGGTAAAATTACATTAAATGAAGTTGTACAAACATTGAAATAGCCACATTTGCCACAAGGCTATTTACAGAAGTGCAGATGTAAAATTTATAACCGTGTGCCTTTCAGCACAAGAAGTCAAGATGACTGAGCTTAAAGCGTGCCCCGTGCCATATCTAATCCCCATGGTTTGGGTTGCTATAGCAATTTGAATCATGTCAAAACTAAGGGTAAAACAAATCCACAGCCATGCACAAACCTGGAAATATCAAGTGGTTTCTCTGCATATTCAACCCAACATGTCTGACACAAAGTGTGCTGCTTGCTAATTAGCCATTTGAAGAATGGAACAATTCTTTACTTCTACAAAGTAAAGCAAAGCGCCTTCTTTTATAAATCAGAATCTGATGTGCATTGAGATGAATTTATCTTGAGTGACCACCAAGCATGCTGATGAATGATAACGCAGTATGGCTACACTGTGCAGCCGATCTGTCAACAAGTCGTGCAGAAGCAAATTAACTGAAATTGGTGAGCTGGCCCATCAGTCAAATTAAACCAACCAATAGATAAAAGGGATGTTTCTTACTCTGTGCTTGGAAATGCATGACCACCACTCTGAGCAGCAGGACCACGTTTTCCACAGAACTGTCAACTCTTGAAACTGTGCCTGCAGTCAACCTACTTCACATATGGGGAGCAATATTATAGGCAGAAACATGGGTGTGCTATGGGGTCTCCATTTTCTCCTATTGTTGCCAACCTGTACATGGAGGAGGTAGAAAAGAGAGCCTTGACGTCCTTTTCAGGGACACCACCAAGTCATTGGTTCAGGTATGTTGACGACACCTGGGTTAAAATTAAATCTCAGGAAGTCCAACATTTTACTGACCACATCAACTCTGTGGATAAATACATCAAGTTCACACGAGAAGATGAAAAAAATTGCAGGTTGGCTTTCTTGGACTGTGAGGTCTCAGTCTCTGGTAGAGGACATTTGCAAACCGAGGTGTACCGCAAACCCACCCACACAGACCAGTATTTGCAGTTTGACTCCCATCACCCTTTGGAGCACAAGTTAGGAGTCATCAGGACTCTGTATCACAGAGCAGACAGCGTCCCCACTAGCTCAGGAGCCAGGCTGAAGGAGAAATCCCACACAAGACAGGCTCTAGAGCAATGTGGATATCCTTGGTTTGAGAGAGGAGTAAAGGAGGCCATCTTTGTGAAAATAAATCGTCCATCATTAAACAGGGGTGGAGGCCTCCGGGTTCAACTGTCCCCCTCTTACAATGCTGTGATTGCTAGTATCACTCAGCCCTCTGTGAGTAGTAAACAGCCATCAGTGTGCTAATGATCCATTGTTAGGCTGATGGTCCTTCTTGAGCATATGATCAGCTGGTTTTGGTTGTCAGCAGCAAAACTGGTTGATCCACTCTGAGAAGGTGCTATTTAAGAGACTGAGCTGAAAACAGCACCTCAGACTGAGGAAGTCTCTTGGATGAGAGACGAAACGTTTCTACATTTTTTTTTTGTTGTTTTGCTTTGTTTTGTTTTTTTGAATGTCTAGAGGACCAGATTTAACTTTTTTAGACCACAGCTCTTATCTTGAACTCAAAACTATATCAACACAATTTTGTATGTCAGACATTTACCTTTTTAAAACTAAAAAGGTGCTATATTTATTTAACACTAATAAACTGTTACCAACAGAAACCAATGTAAAACAGTAGCATGTTAAACCACAGCACAGTGAGCTGCGCTGTCAAAATTCCAAATACCGTTTCGGAAGAACAATAGAAATATAAATTCCTAATGGTGACTACAGAAAACAAAGGCAATAGCTAAAAATAACAAAAGGAACTTAATAGGTCAATGATGAGAATGCCTGCTGGGAATATAGGGCTCATTAGGATGTTTATTGCACTTTTGGGGCAATTACTTTACAATAGCCACAGCTCCACTGCAGGAACACTGAGCCGACGTGGTGACAGTCTTCACAATGAATAAGCTCCAAGAGCTTAAAAAAGCTTTGTCTGCTCTACATTGGCGTTTTGCAAACACACATCTATGTTTTAAAAGTATGCTGCAGCTACTTGACAGCAGTTTTATAGATGCAGAATAATACAGTGTGTGGGCTAGTGCTTGTGTGCTGCTGTATATAGAACAGCTTTGCTTTGAACGAAATATCTGGACAAAGACTGGCTTTTAGGTAACGTGAAACTGTTGTGAAAATGTTAAAAGGACTGTCCTCTGTAACACTGTTTTATACCCGTGTTCATTCTTTCTTCGTTCTTACATGTTGCCCTTTCTGTGATAAAATCAGTCTTTGTCCCATCCTGACTCCAGCTAACTTGAATCAATCCTTTTTTTGGTGGTGGGAGGGTTTGATAAAAAATGTCTCTAAAGTCGAGTGAACATTTATACAAATTTTCGATTGTGTTTTATGATATTGCATAAGGTTACATGAGGTTGTTGAAACCACACTGTCACCGTCAGCTATACCATCTACCTATATTTATAGCTACGTTTCTTTTCCATCACAGATAAATGTAGCAGATTGATCCTCTCACACTTGTGTCCTTGTGAGATACAGAGCTGCTCTGTCCTCACAGCCTCTCTGAAAAAAACCTAAGCATTCTGCCGCTGCGTCAAGTTTAAATATCCGTCTCTAAATCTGGAGCACACACTGTACTTTTGATTGTTGTGGTGCTTTGAGGCAAACTGCAGAGAGAGAGGGGGAGGACGGTAGCACAACATACATTAACAGAAAGGAACAGCAA